TTTTCAAGAATAAAACATAAAAATAAAAACATATAAGTGTAGCGTACGTAGATTGTGAAAATGAAAATATAATTCTTGAAGTAAGCGAAAGGTATGTATATAACATATCTGTATCGGATATTGTCGACGAAAAAACACAGATGGTGATAGTATTTTGAACAAGTAAAAAGAGGTTACTTCAATAGTTAACAATAGAATACAGAGAGAGAGATGAAATTTGAACAGGTAAAAAATGGAGATTGCTTTGAAAATGACATTAAAGATAGGAAGAGAGAAAAATATAAGTTTTATTTTGAACATACTATATATAGAGAGAGATTAAGTACCTGTTGAAAAAATCTCTCTCTTTCTCTCTGTGTTTTTTCGTCTACAATATCCGATACAGATATGTTATACACATACCTTCAAGCACTATATTTTTGTTTTCACAGTCTACGTACACTAGTACACTTATATATTTTTATTTTTATGTTTTATTCTTGAAAATGAACTTTGTATAGTTCGAAACGTGAAATATTGATAAAGTTAAATAATGAAATTGAATATCGCTGCTGTTACTAGACGTTTCATTATGGTAATTTTTTCTCAATTTTGAAATCAATTTTCGAAGAGATAAAACATCGCCCAAAAACAAATGTTTCAGGATTTTGAAGCACTCACTGTATACATCAGCATTGGGTATGAGAACAGTCTGTAGAATTTGTAGTGGATCAGAAGAAATGAGTGGAAGTTGGTGAAGATTGAAAACTAGTAGTCAGTATTTTCTCTACTATTCTGTCTAGAAATCAGCTGAAATCTCGTGGTTTTCACCATTAGTGAGACAAGAGACTACGAATTCTAAATCATACATTGGTATTAAATTTCCATTTTGTCTTCATAGAGATACTTGAATGATAAAAATACCAAATATCATATTTTTGTACAATTTTTCTTATAAAACCAGAACACTGGGAAAACATCTTTTTGCTACAATAGATTTTCTCTCATGAGAAATGAGTTCCAAATCGTGCTCAATCGATACACCATTCAAAAGTGTAAAGGCGGTCAAGTTCTCAAACCTTCGAAACGTTTCCTCATGAAAATATGAACTTTTTACGCGAAGCATTGCAAAGAAAATAGCAAAAAATGTCTGTTTTATATTTCATTTCCTTTTTCTCCGTTCTTTGCTTTAAAATGTTCAACTACATATGAGTCAAAAGAGGGAACAAAACTACACAGAATAGTCGTTTGGTCAAATTAAAACTAAAGTCTATTATGTAAAAAGTCGAACAGTATGACCAATTCTTGCCTAATACAAAAACTGTTTCCTTAGAACGAATTTCAAATTTGTGTTGTTTGAAAAACAAAATGTTCACTTTATTTCGATCGAATAACGTTACCTCAAAAATTGTTTTTGTTTTGGATAAAAAAAGCTGTTGACTTTTTGTTATAGTTGTAAGAGTGACTCTATCGCTTAATAATGCTGAAAAAAAACACACGTATTGGTCGCTGTTCTTCATGGCAAAAAGGTCATTGATCACCTATTATTGTAAGCAAAATAGTCAGCCCGTCGTCAATTATGAATCATAGAAAGAGACTATGTGGTCAATACATGAGTACAGATGTATAGTTCATTCAAATTCACATTACCTCTTACGTTCTGTTGAGTTAGTCGACTTCAAAGTGGCCATTCATTATTCAAATTATGAGACTGAGTATTACAATAATTCAGACCATCGGTAAAATAATTTTCAGATATATCAACGAGATATAAATTCTCAAACAAATTGTATTTTAATCCAATGTAAAATATTGTGAATATCTATGATCTCTATGATATCTATGATCTACATCTATGAAAGTGAAGATTGAAAAACTATAGCGACAAAAAAGACTTCGAACAGAAGAAGAAATACATTTACTAATATTATCTAGAACCAGTAGCAAAATCGTTAAATTTAACCCTTTACGGCCGGCTGCATAAGCCATTTGGTAACAATATCCCCTTCTGTGCATATTCCTTTTCTGTCGGCTGCCAAAAATTAACTAATAAAAATATTCCTCGCTTTATATTTATTGTTTTGCTGTGGCACGGATGAGCAAAGTATATTCTTTTAGAACGAAATTCCTGCGACACTTAATAGATCGATGTTACCGGTGGTCAACACCCGGCCGTAAAGGGTTAAAGCAATAATTATATGGAAAAAAATAAATGCCTCTCGCTTCGAGAATACATTAAAAAACTCTGATTCTTCTAAGAACTCGATACGCTATTCGTATCATTCTTATAGTGTTAACATCGTTCTTTAAAAAATCCAAGCATCAAAGTTTTGTCTTTCTCAAAACAGTTTTATGATTCTTACCCAACAAAGGACCTACCACGTGTCCTAAAACAGAGGCGGTGGAATGCTTTTGAAACTATGATTACTCAGGGACAAGAACGTAAAGAAAAATTTAGTTTCTGCTGGAAGAAAATGAAAATGTTCAAAATCGTGCTGTAAAATCATTTTTGGATAGCCGTTGTTATAGTAGTGAAAGTATTGAAAAGCGATCTTTCTGTTCTCAGCGGCTTATCCACGTAACGCGACACTTCGCTGATCAAGTTTTTTTTTAATCTTTTTCGTCGGAAGATCGATAGAGGCACATCACTCGACGTAGGTTTTCATGCTGATCATAAATCTGACTCTTTGTAAGGGAGAGAAAAACATATTTTGTAAAATCTAGAACATAAAACAGACTACGCGATATACAAGGTCAAAAATGTCTTGAGGTGTTATTTTGTTAAAACGATGCCTTATTCTCCTGGATCCGGTAGCAATTTGGAAATTTGGAAATTCCAATTAAATGGGTATCCACCGACATTTGTTGACACTTTAGTCGGAAAATTGATAAATAAACATTTGATTAAAACTGATAACACTGAAAAAATGGAAAATAATGTACCCAAAAAACGACTGGTTGCCGCTATTCCATATATCCAACAAGAGTCTAAATTTTTGAGTTGAAAATCAAAAAATTCACAAAAATTATTAACTCTGACGTTGATTTAAAAGTTATTTTGAGACCACCTAAATCATTAGGTAGTGCTTTCCAAAACAGAAATAAAATACAAAAACTTTTATACTCAAACGTGGTCTACGGGATCAATTGCAGAGACTGCGAAAATAACTATGTTGGTAAAACAATTAGATAATCAGTAAGCAATTTAATTTCGGTAAAAATATTTTTAACAAAGTGAGTTACCGATGACTACAGAGTTTTTAATAATGAATGTAGGTTATTTTTTAAACTACGTTGAACAGGTTTATTCATGGAAAACAAGGAGTTAACATGAATGAGAAACATTCAAGAAGCTTCGATTTACAGCTACTTCACTTCACGGTTTAAGCTATAGATTTTCTTAGAGACTAGAGTCTAACATTTTCCAACAGGTTGAAGAAATATACTCGAGATGAAATTTCCAGGTTAAATTGTGTGTCATGTGAATGCCAAACAGTTTTGCAAAATTTACTTGTTCTATTTTTGTATAATTTATGCACAGTGACATGGATGGATTTGTGTTTGAAACAGTTGAAATATTAGCTACAAGTGATGAATCTGCGGAAAAAATGCATAACTAAGAAATAGGCCGTATTTTGACGAGCTCTAGAAAAACAGTTTTTCCTTAGCTTTTATCGTTTTGAAATTGGCAAAAGTATATATTCAGAGTCTAAAACCGTTTAACTATCCATTCATAAAAAGCGCTTTTTTTCGAGGCTTTAGCAGAAAAATTCTTTTCTTTCTACGCTATGTGCTTTCGAAGACGTATGCTCGGTATAATGAGCTTCCGAATGTTTTCGAAGCTGCAAACTGATTGAAACTTTCGTCGAATGTTCTTATTTTTACAATACATCTGTATGAATAGCATAAACTACCAGCAATGATCCTGTAATGGTATATAGGTTTTCCAAAAACTTTGGGTTTTCAGGTAAAATCCATTTCTCTCAACCCACAAGCACTTTTATCAAAGACTAATGGTATATTTAGAATCAGTGCATCGAACTGCATTCAATGATATGTCAGTTGCATGTTTTTAAGCTCAAATAATCGTTCAATTTAATGAAATGACAGATTTGCAAGATTCCCGTAGTAATTTTCGCTGAGTATGTGGCCACAAAAGTGATCCGAAAGTCTCTAAACACTACTTTTATAGGTTTCTTACCAATATCTATAAATCATAAAAACAAAGTTCCTTGTCAACTGTATGAAGAACGAGACATTGTTCACCCACTAAACCGGATGACAATATCTCTTTAGCATACGAGATTGTTTCTTTCAGTTGGCCATAGCTAGTCACGCTATGCAGCTCTCGACTGTTTATTGCGTAAGTCAGCCATTCACCAGTTGGAAACGAAATGAGATGATACCCGTACTTAGAAGATGGAAATATGACATTGTGGAGAATATGCATTGATCGATCACGCACTTGAAACTCATCATATTTCTTCTCGACACGCACCGTCACTCCCACACATATCTCATTAGCTGAGAATCGAAGTCCGCCAATCAACTCATCTGCTTTGCAAGAGACAGGTGGTTGCCATTGCTTCACCATCTTCCATTCAGACATACTCCATTCTTCTTCATCATTCACTTACTACACAATCACTCACACATCTCTCTCTCTCACACACTCATACTCATCCATCAAAGCTGAACATCACTCTCAATTGATGAGCCGATCATCCACGTACTCGTTAAAAATGTTTCGCCTGAGCATGTGCATGACCCAAGCGTCTTTTTGTCACGACTCTTGAGTTTACGAATCACATTCACTTGTCGTGTTGCAACATCTAATGTATATAAATCTTCTTTATTAGTTAGAATGATGAATCGATTCAAGAAAGTGGACCAGCAACTATCGTATACTCCATAGTCTGACTTGAAGTTGATCTCTGTTTTATTGTTTCGTATTCCATCTAATAAACATAGACCTTTTCCATAACCGTGAAGTAATAAAAAGTCGGTGGATGAACCAGCGATATATCTCTCGTCTTTGATCACCTTCGATGCTTCATTTCTCAGTCGTCCATAATCAAATGTTCGTCTCATCTTCGACAATGTCTGTTTCACATTGATCAAGTCTTTCCAGTCAACTTGTTTAATCTCAATCACAATGCTCGTCGAGTCACTCATCTCAATCTCTTTACTCAACTTCTTCACTTGATTACTCCAATACTCGATCTCTGTCTCAACATAGTCTTCCTCTTTCATTCTAGATTCAATGTCATCGGCGATTTGTTTGAGATGATGAGCTGGTTGATCAAGAAGAAGGTGCACTTGTTCGCGTGCTTGTTGGGCAGTATCTTTGATCTCAACAAGGGCTGCCTTCTCCCAGTCGTTGATCTGATCGAGCAGCTGTCGGTGTCCACTCTGATCACCTGTCATCTTATGTTTAATGCGTTTATCGAGATCATTATGTTCTCGCATGACGAGATCGAGTTCAAGTGAAAGTTGTTGACGATGTTGTGTCATATCCTGTTTGCAGAAGATTTGCTGACAGCCAGTGCATGACAATGTGGCTTGTCGTTCTTGACATATATCACATTTTCGTGAAAGACCTGATCTTTCTGGACCATGCAACATTTGATTTACGAAGTGCTGTAACGAATTGTATGGAGAACTACATAAGACAGTTTATTTTGTCTTGTGATATATTCTTGATGGAAAGAGAATGGATGGACACTGACTTTATTGTAGTGAAGAAACACACCTGAGTATTTGTTTACCGATAAGAAAGAGTCATCATAGCATTCGGCTCTCTTGACGAAACTGTGAAGCTGTTTTGTTCTTTTTCTTGTGTTTTACAGTAGAGAATATCTGTCTCAGAGATCTCTTTTTCAGTGAATGAATGGAAGACAAATAGTTGTTTCTCTTTAGACAAGAATGATTCGATAAATGTGTCACCAAGTGGAATATTCGACGGTTTCCAGCCAAAGCACAAGATATAAAGATACTTCGATTAAAAGAGCTGCATGACAGTAGGAAACCGAACATGATATAAAGTATCTGTGGTAAAATTCTGAGCTCGATCGGCCATCTTTTGGAAGTGTGGTGATGTGACCGGATGAAAATTGGAGTTTTTTAAAAAACCCATAGAAGAACAGTTTCCAGGGCCAAAAAAGAGCGGACAGAACCCTTAAACTCATAGTGAGAGATTTTGTGAGTTGAATAGTAAACAAACATTCACACTAAAGTGCAGCTATCTGCACAAATCAATGTTCAATATAAACTGTACACGAATATTCTCTTTTTCGTTCTGTCTGCTCATTCTAATAACAAGAAAATAAGAGAAATCAGAATATATTCAGAACGGGGAGAAAAAGGCAGAATAGAATAAAAAGTGCTAGTTTCCACGCAAAAACAGGTTTTAGTTTTTCTCAAAAACCAAGAGTTGTCCAGAGAAAAGGGTGGCATATCCGGAACCCTCATGAAATTCCGAATCGATTAATGTACGCTGTTTCCTTCTAAAACACTCCGAGGAAAAGTGATACGATTTGCTATGATGGCGAATATATGTAGAATCCGATCAGTATATGGTATGTTTGACTTGTTTACCCTTTCGCAGATGGAAGATGCGATTGTTTCGACGAATTTAGACTGATCATTAATCTATAATCTAATGAATCTTTTAGTACTCATCAAGAAGATTTTTGTTCCTAAATCATATATGATGCCGGTGGATATAGTATCATACATAACTTCTAGATTTTTGTTGGGATTTAGTCGGTATACACAAAAGTATTATTCGACGAGTGTTTTCTAGATATTTTCTTAAATGGTTGACACAACGCTTATCATTTTTAACCCTCGGATTCCTACCTGTGCGCCACCGGAGCTCCAGTTAGTTTCAGTTCAATGTTATTCGTATACCATGCATACTGGAACGGTATTCCTTCAATTATGCTTTAGCGATTGGCAATACAATACACTAATGAAATCAACCAGCCACATCTAGTCTTTGCTGATTTAACAATCCATTCCGTGGTATATTGTGGCATTTCTTAACCAACCACGGTTCAGAGATGTCATAAAGCGAATACGGCCCATATTGGGATCCACTGGTCGAAATACTAGCGTAATGTGTAATACATGATACACTATCCATAGTACACAATCCATAATACACAATGAATAATATATAGTGCTTAGAGGCATAATACACAATCCGTAATACACAGTGAGAATAGTGGAATATATGAGAATTATGTGTATGGGAAACCATACATGGCAAATTTTTCATAGTTCACATTAGGTGTTTCTAGCAGTGTGTGGTGGGAGGGTGAGGCGTGAGGGCAGTGTGAGAGTGAGTTCGAAAAGTAGTTTAGTTATCAAGACCCAATGTGGGCTTTGAGAACTTTCTCACCTATGGTCGATGTCAACATTGACCATTCGAAGATATTTCGATCCCCAATATAGCTCGGGGAAAAATTCCTTTGGTCTTTGCTTACATAATTCCAGTTGACGGTAACTTAAGAGATTATCAAGATGCTGTATCGTCGTATTCTGCACCTACAAGTAAAGTGTTTGACTTATTCTTATTTAATTCCATGAATTTTGATAAATTTGATATACACAATACTCAACATTCCCATAATTCTCATAATTCCCATAACTCCCATAATTCTGATAATTCCGTACTCTTAATCGTGTACCATAGTATCATACTCTTATCAATATAAAGCGTACAAAATTCTGATATGTCCCGAAGTATCTTCGAAGATTGTCCAAAATTCCATAAGTGCAAAGAAATAAATCGAAACTCATCCTCAAAGGAGTAGTATCGATAAGTCGGTTTTTCGTTTCAAAAAATTTTCGATTGAAAGTCACATATTTGGAATCAGCGTCGAATTCTGAACAAAATGGCAGATTCAGATTTTTTTTGAAAAAATTTTATTTTTCGCCTGCCAAATCTGCCCCCTGTCTCCCCTTTGGAACATTGAAAATTTAAGCTGTGCAAATTCTTTAAGAAGTACATCACTAGACGTAGAATTCAACGCTGATTCTGAATATTTAGTCGATTCCACTCCGATGCCTTGCAGAAAATTTGTAAATTACTTTTTTCAGCTGGTGGTGGTTT